TTGAGTTTCAGATTCAATTATCTAACTGCCACCTCATTGTTTCTGCTTGGTTGTATAAAAATGATCTGAAATGTAAAAATATCCCAAAGGAACACACACACACACACACACACACACACACACACACACACACACATACCTGTACTTCCTTTCATCTTCTACATCTAAATATGTCACACCACCATCTACCATTACTGACTCTGACACCTGGCATCATGTTTACCAGAGCCCCCTGTCTCCCGCACTCTCATATCCCATTCACGGCAAGTTCTGCCTGTCCTCCTGTGTAACACTTTCCACTAGATTTCCATAACAGTAGGAATGAAAATCCAAACTGTAATGCTTCTCCTACTACCCTCCCCATTGTCACCCACGACACCTCAACCACCTCTCCTCATTGTCTGTCCCCATTCCAATCCAAATCATTCCAAGTTCAGTGACTTTGTGCCCAAACTGAGGCACAACTTGCTCCTGGACATCATCAGGTCCTGGCTCCTCAGGTGTCTCCTCAGAAGTCTTTCCTGGATGCTGTTGCCCCAGTGACAGACTCTCTTCTTTCATCAGTCTCTGCATCATCATATGGGTTTATTTATATATTTTTTTATGTTTTGTAATTCATGATTTCTTGAAATCATCTTTTTGTTTGTCTCTTTATTATCTTCCTCCTACAGCTAGAAATAGCAGCCCTTTAGCAAAAGGCGTCTTCTCTATAAATTAGAACAACATACGGTCCTAAGAAACATGCTTAGGTATTTTTTGATTGGCTGGTTGAATAAACAAAGGGAAGAACCGATGATGATGATGATGATGGTGTGTGTGTGTGTGTGTGTGTGTGTGTGTGTGTGCAGGTATGCACATGCCACAATACAGGTGTGTAGGTCAGGGGACATTTGGGGGGTTGATTCGCTCTTCTACTTTGTTGAGACAGGGTCTGTTTTGTTTTTACCACTGTGTTGCATAACCAGGCTAGCTGGCCCTCGAGCTCCTGGGCCATTCTCCTGTCACTGTCTGCTACATCCATGTAAGAGTGCTGGAATTACAGATGCGTGATATAGCATCCAGCTTTCTTATGTGGGCTCTGGAGATCCAAACTTAGGTCATCAGGCTCATGTGGCAAATGCTTTTACTTACTGAGCCATCCCTCTAGCCTGCAACAAAGACTTTGCAACACTTACTGTTCAAATGACCCTTAAACAAATTACTTAACTTTAAACAGCCCCAAATATTAGAGGGAAAAGAAAAACTTGGCCCAACACTTTTCTAAAGAGAGAAAAGTCTAACACCAAGAATGGGCATAACTAATGACTACTGACACCTTTGCACCAGGCACAATAATGTTGTTAAACCACAAACAGATACTATGATTATCTCTCTATTTTTCAAATAAGGAAACTTAAGGCCTAAAAGGTTTACATATTCCTAGTCTCAGAAATAGTAAATGAAAGATCCATAATTCACAACCAGGATGACTGATTCAGAATCCACATTTTCAACTCTGATCCCACCCAGCACTTAAATGCTCAAACAATAACAGCCATTATTGTCAATTGGGTTGCAGACCAGGGGTTGGCAAACATTTTCTATAAAGAGCCAGATGTTGACAATTTCAGGTTTTATAGTCCATATTGTCTCAAACTATTCAACTCTGCACCACAGCATCAAAGCAGCTGTAGACAATATGTACATGATTAGATGTGTTCTGATAAAACTTTATTGGCACACACAGGCTTCTGACCAGATTTGGACTCTGGGTTATAGCTTGTGGACCTCTGTTGCAGATCAGCAAGAATAACTATTGATAAGAGTTGCTCACTCTGTGTTCCATGAAAAAGTTCCATACTAAAGAGTAAAATAATATAATCTTTTTTATGTTTTAAAAAACACACAAAAATTGTGTTTGTTAAAAGTGGAAGTATCACACAGGAAGCTGAAGCAACAGGATCTTGAGTTTAAAGCCAGTCTATAGCAAAACCTTATTTTGCAAAACCAAAAACCAAGCCCAGTCAAAACCCACACAAGATCAACAGCATCTGAGCAATAGAAACCACTAAACAAGAGATTATAGTGATGACCGCCTTCCTCTTCTTTCCGGTGACCTCTATGCCTATGTGCTAAAATGACTAGCTTCCAAGATACTGTAGAATCTGCCAGAAACCTAGTCTGAACTCCAAAGTTGGAATGATGACAATATCAATAACACCAAAACGGATGATGAAAACCTTCTCTCTGGCGGGTTTGGTTTTCGGCGTGAAGATGCCAGTAAGCCTAAGGGGTTTCAAATGCAGTGCATCTGCAAGGGACCGAGGTCGGCTCTGATCTCTTTATGGTCCATTTTAAACTCTAAATCGCCTTCACTTTGGGGATCCCAACATGAGAAAAAGAAGAGATCTGTTTTGTAGGCTTCATACCAAGGCAACATGGCTTTAAACCACCTGCCCACATCAGATAGAAGCTCTCAGATAATCCAGAATTGCTGGCATGATCTGGCTGGGATTTTTTGTCCTTGGCTTGTTCTTGTTCCGCCTCCTGGAAAGTCCATGCTGTCTCCACACAGTAGAAACTGTGCCGCAGATAAACAAGCTCCTGCCTCTGTGGGAAAACTTCAGAAGTGCTGGAAGCAGCATGAGGTCTGAAATTCCAGATTCAGAGATTAAGTCTACCCAAAGGTAACCTTCTTGACCTACTGGATCAAAAGAGTTCCAATGCTCTCTGAAAACACTTTGAACTTAAGACTCTATAGAGGTGGGGGATGGTGTTAGGTTTGCTACTTGCTTTTTTGTGCAAGTCCAGGTTCTATTGGGACAGTAGGTAGAGGGCAGAAGGGTACTGATTGCTTGAGACAGGGAGAAAGTAGTGGTCCCAAGGGGAAAGAAACAGAATTGAGAGGCTGGCTGATGGCAAGGTACTCTTGCCCACAGGACAGTATCGCCCAGGGCCAGCCTCAGCTGTATGTGGCATCTGCTCTCTACACTGCACTCAGCTGTTCAGGGTTTCTGAGCCTTCTCTCAGAAATCCAGAAACTTCAGGCAATCAGAGAAATAATACACAAGGACCACTTAAGATCATACTTCTGAAATAATGGAATCTATGTCACTCAAGTGGTGGTTCTTTGCTTTAACTTCCTCTGTTTCAGTCTCTGGACCATTCTGCTACTACACATTTTTTCCTTCTTGAATTTGAACTTTCTGAGTACCTAAAACCTAGTTAGAATTCAGCAATTGCTGTTTAAAAGGAACAGGGGTCTGCACTTTCTTTCCTTCAGTCATTGTACAAATACTGCTGAACGACTAATGCTGCTGCTGTGCAAGCTCTTCCCAAGCTCATCTCTCCTCTACTTAACAGTTCTCTCGGCTCCCTTGAAGTCTTTCTAGATTAAGCCACTCTGAGAAAAGTACTCCAGTCACTTCTTTTCTGCTCTAGACCCTTCTGAACACAGGCACTGTCATGGTATTCTCCAACAGTTTGTGGATAGCGGGTATTTTTGTCTTCCCTGCATCAGTGTCCTCTTCATATTGACTACCTGGGAATTTAAATCATAAGCAAGAGACAGGGACAGAAAATGCTGAAGACTTTGTTGATAGCAGCTTCCTAGCCAGGCTGTTCTTTCTCCTTGGTGTCCAAAGTTTTCTGCTAGCTCCTGCTCCTGCCCTCACACAGCTTGGGGTTCTAAAAGTCACACCCACAGTCCACAGGGAAACTGGAATCCAGCTTAAATTTCTGTAATCCAGCTTAAATAAAAAATTAACATAAGCATAAGCTTTGACAAGCAAAGCCATTTAATTCAAGATTACATTGTCAACTCTGATATTCTTTAATACCAAAGACTTTCTATGGAAAAATGTATTACGGCTTGGTTTCTTAGAACAAAGAATCTAAAGAATAGAGAAAAATAGCTTTCAAGGATGTAACAGTTGGCCAAAAGTGTTCTTAGATTTTCAGTCTTATTTAAAAAAGTAAAATAAAATAAAACAAAACTTACAGCAACAATGAATCAGAACAAAACAAACAAAAAACACACATATGGTCTGGAGAGATGGCTCAGCAGTTAAGAGCACTTACTGCTCTTGCAGAGGACCCAGGTTCAGTTCCCAGCACCCATATAAGGTGGCTTAGAACCACATGCAGTTCCAGTTCCAGGAGAGCCAAAGTCCTCTTCTGGCCCCTGCAGGCACCAAGTATGCACGTGGCACACATATATACAATGCAGGCACTCCCACATACACATAAAATAAAAATAACTAAAAATTGGGCCACATTTTCCTCCCCACAGAAGGCTGAGCCTAACTAACCAAAGACACACTGATGTAGACTCTCCCAGTGGCAGATCTTAAAGGGGCCACAGAGGGAAAGTTCTTGCTGACATTTTCAAACCACCCATTATTAGAATCTCCACCCAACAAAATATGAGCAACTGCACTGCTGTGATGGTTTTAAGAAGGAAGAAAGCCTGGACAGTAATGCCCACATCATTCCTCTCCATCAGGGAGAAAAGAGATTCCACTTCAAAAGCAAACCATTATTCAGCTACATGTTGTTAAAATGTTATGGAAAATCAGAAATTGGGGAAAGGAAGGAAGTATTCCTTTGCTGTTTTAGGCTGGTTTGTATTTAATTATACTAAGTAAAATGTTTGAAAATCTAAATTTCTTATTACACTGTATTTAATCATTTTAGAGAGAAGACAACCTGACATTGTTTAAACAGGAGATTAGAAGGAATGAAATCTACTACTAGCAAGTAATAATACCAAATGCTGACTTCTTGACTCTTTTGACAACCAAGCTATCATTAGGACAGAAATCCTATATTTAAAAATCACTACCCATACCATTGACTTTTGCTGCCAATGAAGTGAATAAGCCTCGACTTGCAACTTCAGGAGTTATCTGATAGCATGCCTTCAACAGCAAAGCCTAAGCAAGTGCTGGGAAAGAGAGGCAGCAACAGGAAGCAGAGACATTTCTCAGAAGCTAAATCCTTGGCGGCCACTGGGCACTTACCTTCAAAGAACTGCTGTAGGGCCTCATTTTCACCCAGTACATCCATGGTGCTGTGTTCCTAGTGATTCCCTCTTCAAACAAGGGTTATCAGACCTCGGGACGTATGTGTTGTCCCCTGGACTCAAAACTTGTGAATACTCTTGAAAATCTTCATACTCTTTTTGTTGGCGTGGAGCGTTTCTTCAGCCATGGACTTGAGCCCAGAAAGGTGGCTAAGTTCTCAAATGTGATTCTAGAGCTGAAGGACATGCAACCACATAGAGAAAAACCACGAAGAGGGAAGTGGGAGCAAACCATCTATCTTAGTTCAGGGAACTATTTCCACTTTGCCTCTTGTCTGTTTTAAGGACCTTTGTCCTTGGTGACACATGCAATTACACAAATGGGCAATAAATGCATAGTCTTATCTTTTATTTGTCCTTTACACCAATATATTTCTATCTCTACATCATCAACCAGATCCACTTGGCCACCACCAAGAAAGGATACAGTTATTTTTTTAACCTGTAAAAAGGGGACAAATCAATATAATCACTTTTATAGATGGCCCAAATCAGGTTATTTTAAAAGTCTTGTAAGAACAAAGGGTTTGGATTTGTTTAATATTTCCAAACCTACTGTGAAAACTTACACTTCTCAGTACACACCTAGTCTACTTCCTCCAGAATTTTTCATTAAAAATATAAACCAAGTGTGAAAAAGTCCCTCTTACAAACAACAGAGACTGTGTTCTCAACTTGATACATTTAAAACTACATATATATTGTCACTCCAAATTATAAAGCTAGACCCAAATAAATGTTTTTTCACTACTTAGCTTTGGTTCATTTAATAATAGCCCAGGGGCTGGGGTGATGGAGAGAGGACTCAGTGGTTAAGAGCACTGTCTGCTCTTGCAGAGAACCGGGGTTCGGTTCCCAGGATCACTTGGCAGCTAACAACCATCCATAACTCCAGTTCCAAGGCCCTCTTCTGACCTCTGCAGCTATTGCACAACATGGGTACACTTACATGCATACAGGCAATACACTCATACACATAAAATAAAAATAATAAATAAAATATTTTTAAAAATAATAACCCAGGAAGAAAAAAATTAGAAGTTAAACCATCCTTCTGGTTCCCTACTCTTTTTTTCTCCAACTTTTTATTTTGAAAATTATTATGAACTACAGAAAAAAAATGGAAAAATAGTTCCATGAAATACCATATATTTTTCACCTAGAATTACTAATTATCTTAGCACGTTTGCTTTTCCTTCTTAGTCTCTGTGAACGTATAAACTTCTTATTCTTTTTGGCTGAGTTGTTGACATCCTGACATGTCTGTCACCCCTAAGTAGCTCAGTGTGTGTCTCCTAAATAAGGTCATTGTCTCACATGGCAAAATCGTTATTACTAAGGAAATGTAATATTAACTGAACAGGACTATCTCACACATCATTTCTCCCATTCCCCAAATATCTGATATGACTTTTTGTTCTCTGGTCAAGCACTCAATAAGTGTTCATGAACTGTCTTTGGCTATAGTTTTTAAATATTTTTTATGTGTATGTGTATATTGCCCGCATGAATGTAAGTGCACCCATGTCATGCAATGCCTGAGGAGGAAAGAAGATCCTCTGGAACTGAGTTACGGACAGTTGTTAGCTGTCATGTGGGTGCTGGGGTTCAAACCTGGGCCTTCTGCAAGAATAGCCAGTGTTCTTAACCACTGAGCCATCTCTCCAGCCCTTGGCTGTAGCTTTTTAAAATACAGAAGAGAAGCTGAGGATATAGCTCACTCCATTGGGAGAATGCTGGTTTAGTATGGACGAGGCCCAGGGTTCTATCTTCAGCACTGTAAGAAATAAATAAGTTAATTAATCATAAACCTACAGAAAAACTGGAACAATAATTCCATGAAGCATCATATATTTTTCATCTAGATTTTTAATTATCTTAACACTCTTGCTTTTAGTACTACATAAACTTTTTTTATGGTTTCTCATGAATCTAATTTTTAAAAAATATTTTATTTATTTTTATTTTACGCGTATGCGTGTATTGCCTGCATGTAGGTAAGTGCACCCATGTCATGCAATGCCCGCGGAGGACAGAAGAGACTGTCAGATCCCCTGGAACTGGAGTTACGGACAGTTGTTAGCTGCCATGTGGGTGCTGGGATTCAAACCCGGGTCTTCTGCAAGAACAGTCAGTGTTCTTAACCGCTGAGCCATCTCTCCAGCCCTGAGTCTGATATTTTTTACAGACCAGCCCTTTGTCTTATAGAATATCCCTCTTTCTGACTTTGTCTTTTGTTTCATTAAGATTAATATAGATAAGATAGGATACTTCCAACATGTATTTTAAATCTTCACAAACATATATGTATGTATTATTTCTTGAAAATGAGCAAACTTTTTTAAATATTTTATTTATTTTTATTTTATGTGTATGAGTTTATTGCTTGCATGTATGTGAGTGCACCTGTGTCATGCAATGCCGTGGAGGTCAGAAGAGGGCTTTGGATTCCCCTGGAACTGGAGTTAAGGATGGTTCGTAGCCGCCATGTGGGTGCTGGGAATCAAACCTGGGTCCTCTGCAAGAGCAGTCAGCGCTCTTAACCACTCTCCATCCCCTGAACAAACATTTTTAGGGAAACTACAGGAAGTTTAAGAACTCTTTCAAAGGTCACGTTAAATTCCATATCTAAAAAGGCATGTCATTAAGATTTTTAATGGAATGAATTTTCTGTTTTCATTTAACTTATGTAAAGCTGCATGCTGGCTGCAGGAAATAAAAATATAAGTAAATAATAGTCCTTGCCCTCCATAAGCTCAGGCTGAGGGCATGAGAAAAACACAGATAAGTGTAACTGATAAGATCCCAAGAGAACACAGGAAGAAAAGACGCATTTAATCTGGAAGCATCTGGCAAGATGCCACACAGAGCTGGCATTTGAAATGCCTGAACAATGAGCATGTCTTTAAAACCACTAGCAATGGCATGGAGGGGAGAGAACACGGGGAGCGGAAACAGTGTCTGGTCCAGTGAGGCACAAGGTGGGAAATAGGATGAAGCGGTGGTAGATTTTAAATGTAGCCTGACTCCATGCATATTCATTTGAGATATATCTATTGATGCTTTCTATTTGAGTTCAGGGAATGATATATTTACATCCAACTCAGAGAGACAGCTATATTAGAATGTGTTGGCTGGTGCAAGTTAGACTGGTTAGTGCAGAAGCTACTCCAGGAATCAAGCAGTTGGTAACAAAGCCTGAATCAGCACAATGTATAACCAAGAAGTGGCTACTGACAGGACATAGGGTGCAGGACAAAGTCAAAATGAATTTTTGAAAGATTTATGCTTATAGGTAAAACATGAATTAACACATCTAAAACAAGCAGCTTCTGGCTAAATCAAAACGCCTAGTGAAGCACCCCGCCAAGCTTTCTGAAGGATTGGGAATGAGTCTCACACTCTAACCTACTGCCAAAGTATAATTCAGGATCCTAACAGTCCACCCAGATGCTTTCAGTTCTCAAAGGCAGAGGAATGAGTGACAGGCATGAGAGACAAAGAAATTCAGTTCCTTTTAATGAGCTAAGACACCAAGGTTAGAACTGGAGTCCCAACTCAAAGTGCTTCTCAGGCCAGGCAGGTAAGTGAGGAAAACGGGTCAGAATAAACAAAAGCTCAGCATGAAGCTAAGGTGACTCAGAGGCTTGGTGTCAGAGAGCAGCAGGGGTAGAGGGACAGAGCAGAAATTGAACCCTGCCAACCAGTACTGGATGGGTAGAGTCACTCAACTTAAAGAACCAGGCTCAGTATTGCCCAAATAGTCAATTTCAAAAGAGAAGCTTTAAAAGCAGTTCTAAAATTTCAATCTCATTTATGAAAGTTGACAACTAGGGCAGGGTGTGGTGGAGCAAGCCTTTAATTCTAGCACTGGGGAGGCAGAGGCAGGTGGATCTCTGTGAGATAGAGGTCAGCCTGGTCTACATAGCTAGTTCCAGGCCAACTGAGGCTACAGGAAGACCCTGTCTCAAAAACAAACAAAAAGTGATTTATTTTAAAACAAAATGAACAAATAGGAAAATAAACATAGTTCCCAGAACAAGAAGCACGGGTTGCAAATGCAGCTGGACCTACTTGTGTTCAGAATCAGCCTCTGGGCAGGATCCTGAGGCACCACCACAGATAGATAGGCATATTCAGCCAGGTCTGAAGAAAGCAAGAATTTAGAAGTTGGAAGGATTGGAAATAGATTCGTAGTAATTAATGTCCTGAGCTACCAGATGAGGGCACCATCCATCTGGCCACAATGGGACTGAAGTGGAAATCTCTCCCTTTCACCGAACAGCAAACGCAGGCTGCATTTCCCTGATCACCAACATTTTCTTATTCTGTGGATACAACTATTTTGTAGAAATTGCATTTAGCTATGGTTTGGGTTTGTTTTGGCATTGGCAGCTCCTAGCAAACTCCAACAGATAGTAAATAAAAGCTGAGCCGTCTGGCTGGATCTGTGGAAGTAGTTTATGCTGGGCTTGTGGTAAGGGGAACCTTGTCTCCCTCCTCAGACACACAGTTCTAGAATCCAGTGGTCATACTCAGTCTTTCCTCTTGAAGGAGACCATATGAACCTGCATTTCTTTAAGAGGCTGCCTTTAGAAGGGATTCTAGTCTTCTCTAAATTTTGACAAGTTTATTCCTTTGTGTTTTCTTTTAAACAATGTATTTATTTTTGAATGAATAAGCAGTTTTACTGGGATGTTTCAGCTCCTTCTAATGTGGTCAGTTAGTTTGTAAAGAGGTTAATGACTCCTGTTCATCATAAATCTCACTGACAAAAGTTCCTTAGGTTTTCTGCTTCTTTGTCATTTGTCACAAACCACATTTCTTGATGGCATTCTTTTAAAATCTGTGTTCTCTTCTGAAATGTAAAAATGCTCCCAGAGCTGCCAGAGCAGCTGATGACACAATGGTCACACTAAGGGCTACGTAGACAGGGGCATGTGCTATTTCTTCATGGAACTGCCGGCCATATTCCATCAAACGG